ATATAAATTAATTCAAACACTCCTAATCGTTAAATAAAAAAAATAAAAAAATAGGATCATTTTATGATGATATCCAAAATATGTATTGATGAGTTCGGAAACTCCGCCCATTCTTGGTGACCAGGAAATTCGAGATCACCACCCTTTCTCCAATAACATCACCTCTACCATTGGCACCGATAACAATTGTTTTTCACCAAAACACTATGCAAATCGTAACAGTCGTCTATTCAAGCAAAAAAATTGCAACTACCTTAATGTCCATCAATTTTTTATATATGTTCTATCGTGCTGNTACGCGTCCGTGTCCGCGTTGAAAAAGATCTATAGACTATCTCTTGTAACAGAGGAGGAAGCACCCCCAGCGATCTTACAGCGCGTGATTAGACGACCAGTGCACAAGTTTTGCTAAGCTATTTTATTGTCCTTTCGTGTTTTCGTTTATAATTACAGTTATTGTTGACCCAACTACCACTGCTCCAACTACAGCAATTGAATTCGATTCGTAATAATTTATTATGATTAGGTTATTACATTTTATCTATCGCGAATATTTTAATTTTAGTATGAATAACTTATTTTTGAACAAATTAAAAATAAAATTAGTCAAAATGCATATAAATTAATTCAAACACTCCTAATCGTTAAATAAAAAAAATAAAAAAATAGGATCATTTTATGATGATATCCAAAATATGTATTGATGAGTTCGGAAACTCCGCCCATTCTTGGTGACCAGGAAATTCGAGATCACCACCCTTTCTCCAATAACATCACCTCTACCATTGGCACCGATAACAATTGTTTTTCACCAAAACACTATGCAAATCGTAACAGTCGTCTATTCAAGCAAAAAAATTGCAACTACCTTAATGTCCATCAATTTTTTATATATGTTCTATCGTGCTGCATACATGATCAATTTAGTCCAAAATAATGGGTAAAGAAATACGTTTTAGGACTTCAATAAAGAATACAAAATACTTGCTAAATAGAATATTTGCAATTGCATAACTCCTTTAATTATGTTTTTTTTTTGGGTAAGGGTTCATTGATTCCTTGTTTAGGAAAGATATCTAGGTTTTGACGCTTTGTATATACTATTATACCAAACAAGAAAAGAATATAAAAAACTTTATATAATTATTTTACGATTTTTAAATAGGTAATATAACAAATTATATCAACAGCGTTCATATGTGACTATTTATATCTTATTACTGTTCAAAATCAAAATGCAACAGCGTGAATAACGAGAAATTATTATAATTTTATTTAAATTTATTAATTTTGTGCCGACTTCGTCTTGAGTTCCAACAAATCACCCTCGCACACGTTACATCGTTCTATTGCATGTAAATAATACTACGCTCACGCTGGTGCGTGATTATTAATTTCTTCAAAGATTGGTCAGAAAAGGTGGGCATTGTTCTACAACAACAACGTGCGGCTACGACTATACTTTGGATTCTACGCATGAAGCTTGGCGAATCACAGCTCAGCCACCTCTTATTTGTCACCTTTGAGGCCCTATGTCAATATGATTTTAAAATTGATATAATTAATAAATATTCATAATGAGTTGTTTAAATTAATATTTGATATTTAAAATAAAATAAATATATATTTTTTTATAGATTTTGACACACACAAATAATAATGTCATAATTCGATCAGAGATAAATTGTGACCCCCTTTACCTTAACAAGAGCACTAGGCTACTACCGACATCAATGTACCAACTACTTTTTTTTTTTTGGGTACATAAAAATGAATATTAAGATAGTTCACCCAATTTATTTTTATTTAATTACTATCGGCATCACCACGTGACGAATCGGTCTGCTAATGCTCCGGTCGGCTAGTCTCTTTCAGATTGTCAAAATAGTTGGACTTGAATCTTAGGTGATTGTCCAATATATTTTATTTCATAGTTTATACCTCAAATAGTTTAATAATAAGTTCGTTGAGACTTCTGGATAAGGGTGCAATTAGAGTAGATTAGATGGGTTGGACTGTTAATTCTAGCTCAATTCTAAGTATATAATTTTTAACTTTGACCCTAACTNTGTCCATCAATTTTTTATATATGTTCTATCGTGCTGCATACATGATCAATTTAGTCCAAAATAATGGGTAAAGAAATACGTTTTAGGACTTCAATAAAGAATACAAAATACTTGCTAAATAGAATATTTGCAATTGCATAACTCCTTTAATTATGTTTTTTTTTTGGGTANGCATTGCCCGAATTTAATTTGGGCGGACTCGGATTGAATTCAAGTTAATAATTTTGGTCTAATTCAGGTTACTTTACAGGTTCAATTCGGGTTAAGTTTAGGTAGAGTTCAAAATAAGCATGTTGTTCTAAACCTAATATATATATTACATAATATTCACCTAAATTAACAATCAAAAACTTCAACCANATATACTATTATACCAAACAAGAAAAGAATATAAAAAACTTTATATAATTATTTTACGATTTTTAAATAGGTAATATAACAAATTATATCAACAGCGTTCATATGTGACTATTTATATCTTATTACTGTTCAAAATCAAAATGCAACAGCGTGAATAACGAGAAATTATTATAATTTTATTTAAATTTATTAATTTTGTGCCGACTTCGNACAAAAATGAAAATGAACAAGAGAGACAGAGAACGATAGCACAAAAATAAATAAATATATATATTTTTTAATTTGTCAGGTTTGGGTTGAACCCGTAAACTCGAGACCTTAATCTGAGCCCAATTCAAATTGAATTCGGGTTGAAGTTTTTTGACCCAACCCCCAACTCAAATATTAAAAACTCTTGCTCAAACCTTAATTTTTTCGAGTTGAAAACGAGTTGCTCAACCCAACTTGCACCCCTACCTCCAGAGTAAACTAGTTCCCATCCTCAAAATATTACCAACAGTTCTATTTTTTTTGTTTAACAGTCGAAGATGTCGAGATAAACTTACACGGATTTGACTATTCTTTTTTTTTTTTTGTTGAAGATTGATCATTCACGTCAAAGTTAAGTTATGTATTTATGGAAGATAAGTTTTTTATGACCTAACTCAATTTTTTTTTCAAGATTTGAATTTAATGGAGGGCCCATTTTGCTTTTTTGTGTTTTTGCTATTGAAAAAAATAGTGGAGGTAAAGAAAAACTCATAGAGACCACCCGATAGATTTTCACTGATGAAATAATGAGACGCGTGACTGTCTTCATTACTTTTTTTCAGAAACAAATATAATTAGACTAATATAGTGGTCAACTACTGAACCTCAATATAGATTATAAGGGATTGTTTGGTAAAGGAGCATGTGAGGGTTTAACAAGATGAATTTGGAAAATATAATTTAAAAGACTTTTAAATCTCAAGTTTGGATTAAAAATTTAATCACGAGTTCCCAAATCCAACCTGTAATATTATACTCATACTCATAGGTTTGTCAAACCTAAAAGAGTGGGTTTGGGAAGATTGGTTAAAGGCTTAAGAATACAAAAGACAATTGTACCCCTTAACATGAATATAAATTGAATTTATAAAAAATAAAATAATAATTTACAAGATAAATAGTTGTTAATAATTATGATATATATATGGGTCATATACGTATATCTATTACATATCAAACATGAGTATAGATCGAATTCAATGTTAAATTTCATCTTTATAAAGAGAGATTTAAATTTAAAAAATTTTTAAAAAATTAATTCAATCCTCTCCCAAAAATTCACCCAAACAAAGCCAAAGACTCAAACCTTCACCTACGGGATGAAAATTTTGATCGATTCCCACTGACCACGCCACTCGGATTAAAATCCCTCCAAGCCAACCGACAGGGATTGTCCTTTCCACTGCCACCAACCAGCATAAAATGACGACAAGTACTACAGCCGATTAATCTGGTGTTTTTACGACAGGGCTTTTGTTGTTTTCTTAGTTTTTGTGCCAACTCTTCATTATGCAATGTCAAAAATTATTCAATTTATATTTAATGTATGTCTATTATTATTTCTATTCAGAATTCTAAAAAATCAAAAATTATTATTTTGTATTTCTAAGTACATATACATATAAATTACACTCTCTCTCTCTCTCTATATATATATATATTATAGGAGATTCTACCGCACCTATATTGAGGCCAAATATAAAGTTTCACTTTATACTCTAAGTGTTACTCAAATTTAATTCCATCGAATTGTCATAACGGTAGAGATTCAAATCTANTCTCTATATATATATATTATAGGAGATTCTACCGGCCAAATATAAAGTTTCACTTTATACTCTAAGTGTTACTCAAATTTAATTCTATCGAATTGTCATAACGGTAACATTGAATAAATTTACCTAGTAAACCAATCATTCGGTGATATATGTTATAGTAAGTGTGATTTGTGTAGATCTATTTATTTTATTTGTGGAGAATATTTTGAATTATCATATCTATGTAAAATTAAGATTATTTTATAACAATTAATGTGTCAAAAGTTTGAAATATGAAAATAATCTTTCTATTGTCACCTCCTAAAATAGATTTGTCAGCAAGATCAAGTTTGGATCGATTTTTGATTAATTCGATTCTAAATTTGATCTCAAAAATCTGATCCAATAATTCGTCAATTTTTTTAATTCCGTAATTTATATCAGAATTCGATAATAATTCAAAATTCGACCCAATTAAAATAACTTAATTAACTAAATTAACAAATTATATCTAAATTTTAACTAATTTTTTTTAAATAATCACCTAATTTCCTTTAATATTTATATAAAATATATATAAATAATTTGAATCAACAATGTATCTAAATTCAAATTGCTTAAATATAATATATCATATTCAAATTTAAATTTAAATTATCAATAAAAAGTGTTAATTTACCTCCTGCTAATTAAATTCGACTTTGATTCAATCCACTGACGGCCGTACTCCCAAAACAAAGGAAAGGAGTGCTGGGCTACAACAATTCCGCACAACCCGCGTAAATAACACACGGAACTGTCGAAGAAACATAACCACCTAGATTCTTTGGACATCTTCAATCTCTCTAAAAAGTGCCTACCTTGATTCATTCTATCGGACAATTCAGAGTAGTTATGCACCGGTCGTCGAGCTCGACTCGAGTCTCAGACGAGTTCTTCTCAAACTCATCTTCATCTTCGCCATATCAGAGTTTCAACCCAAACTCAGACACCCACCAATTACCCACTTACAATCCCCTATCGGAAGTAGCAAAGAAAGAAAGGAGTCGCCTCAGATCTGCGGAGACAGCGGTTCATATCATCCCAGTTTTGCTGGTTCTGTGTGCCATCATTCTTTGGTATTTCTCAAGCCCAGGTAATAAAAAAGTATGAGATCGATGACCCGTTTGTTTTATTTCCCAGGAGAGCACCTCTTTGATTGATGAAATCGAAGGAATGGATTGATTTAATGATTAGTTGTTTTCAATTACTGTGTGATATAATTTGAGGAAGAAATTGAGATTTTGTTTATGTAAACCCAAATAAATATATCACATCTGTGTTTGCGTGTTTATAGGTATATTAATTCAGTGATATGAGTGTGTGCGTGCGTCGTAGTGGTGGTGTGTGTGTGAGGGGGGGGGGGACTGAATCTTTGGGTAGGCTTTGCAGGATCAACAACAATAACTGGAAGTAGGTACGGTCGTTCGGGAAATCCCTCGCAAACAATTCTAAGAGTTGACTTAGTAGATTGAAAATTGACTGTGTTAATAGCTTAGGTTGGGTTGAATTTCTAGTCTCCAGGCCTCAGTATTAGGGATCACTCCTTATTATTCTGGTGATTATTTGTTGGTATACTGCTATCTCTGTTGGTTGTTATTATATTGCCTATTTTCTTAAACCAGACTATAGATGATTGTTTGGCATTCTCTTGATAATTGTAATTGTTAAGCAAATTGTTTTATCATATATAACAAAAATAAACTTAGTTTTGAACTGTGATGAGGTTATTGCTATCCATACAGCAGTTGATATGGTGAATAAAGCTGATTCAATTGTTGCCAGAGTGGAAGGTCCGATGACCTATGGAGGCATCAATAGCCATGGAGCGAAGGGCCGCTTGTTTTCAAACATGGGGCTGGAGGACGTTGATACTACAAATCAATCAGTAGATCAGGTGGATCAAAAACCTACAAGATGAATGGAGGACAATCCCTTGTAACAGTCATTCTTGACGAACAGCTTGACGGGTCATAACAGCTGCTATTAGCAAAAATCCCATTACTATGTCAAAAAATGTCTGTCATAACAACTGTAAACAGGATTGTATATTTGCATTTGGTATAAGATATATCCAGGTCTTCTTAGATTTACATGACACGGTGGAAATATTTTTGTATAAAGAACTGTTCAGCAGCTACGAAGATGGTGTTACTTTGTTTCTTCCCTAGCAACTGTGTTTCATTGTCTGGAGTATGAATTTCTGAGTGTGTTACAGAGGTTCAAACTCAAAATTTGTGTGTTCCAGCATCTGTCCAAGCTTCACCAGCTTAGGTACAACAACATTGTCCCGAACAGAACACACCACTGGATTATCCGATTGCAGAATNATGAATTTCTGAGTGTGTTACAGAGGTTCAAACTCAAAATTTGTGTGTTCCAGCATCGGTCCAAGCCTCACCAGCTTAGGTACAACAACATTGTCCCGAACAGAACACACCACTGGATTATCCGATTGCAGAATTGTTCCCACAAGATTTGCACGTATGGTTAAAGGAAAGATTCGGGGCCATCTTTCACTTCCATAGGATTTGAATGCATCTTCCACAGATGTGGTTCCAGACTTGATCGCCTCTGCAAGCTTTTTTGCCAAAACCACTGCATCTTCCAGTGCACAACAAGCGCCTTGACCAAGATTGGGAGTCATAGGGTGCCATGCATCACCGACCAGCACAACTCTGCCTGCTGAAGCTTGAGATCTTATGGCTGGCCACAGCCATCGGTCTACTAATGGATTTCTTACNGAGTCATAGGGTGCCATGCATCACCGACCAGCACAACTCTGCCTGCTGAAGCTTGAGGTCTTATGGCTGGCCACAGCCATCGGTCTACTAATGGATTTCTTAATATGGTATCATCTGGGGTAAGATCTATTATTTTCAATAGCTCCGAGGGCCAGTTCCTGACTATTTCTCCAGTTTGATTCTTCAACACAGATGAATCAGTGATCTTTGGACCTGCCACAACATTCGTCGAAAATTGTTGGAGAACAATGTAATTTCAAGGACACCAGGTAAGTAGTTCTGCTGCAAAAACTCGTGTGTAACTCCTATCAAGTATACCTGGAGAAGGGCTGTTGAAGCAAACAAACCAATAAACTTTTGTTGAAGAAACAGGAACATATCCACCTCGTACCCCTCTTCCATAGATGTAGTTTACTCTAGGTTCAAAAGGCTGTCCATCAGGGTAAAATGCAAGCCCGCGAAAAGCACAATGCCCCACATACTTGGGCTCCGGAAACCCCATCCATTTAGCTACTGGAGATCGGATCCCATCACAGCCAATCACAATCTGTTGAAGGTTTTGAAGGTTTCATTGAATGTTCTACACAAACTTTGCAACTCAATAGAAAGGCCACCCCAGAAGTGGCAAACATAACTCCATTTCGGAATTAGCAACTCTAAAATAAGCTGTGTATTTGAGCATATGTAAAAATACCTTGGCAGATATTCGAGTCCCATCCATGAATTCCAGCAAGGTTTCACCCCCTCCACTTTTTTCAATCTTTGCCAACTTTGAGTCAAACGAGATTGCATCTGGTGGCAGCTGATTAGCAAGAGTGTCCAAGAGAATTCTCCTCTCCACAGCACGAACCTCCTGACTGCCCCATCATCAAGTGAATAACAAATGGAAAAGGAAAAAACCTAATCTGCTTAGAGGCCACCAAAATATGAAGATGAGTATAACATTTACCTTTCATCTTCCTCTTTGAACTTGAAGGAGCGCAGCTCCCTCCCATCTGCTGATTTTATCACCATCCTGTACAGCTGATAGTGTGAAAACAATTGGCGAAAGAATATAAGGAAAAGCTTTTAACTCATTCATCTTTTCCTTCTCTTTTTTCAAGATGGAATAACAGTTCCCACACAACCATGCCCTTGGTAATCTATCAACTTGCGCAAATTCTGAGACTAATTACATGTGCAGAGAACTTCGTTTTTAATATGGAACATGTATGTGTAACATATGGTAGCTCCAGAGACCAGAATAATGACTCCTCCATAACAGGAAGTAAATGACTACTTTTTTATTTGACATTTTAATAACAGACTTATGAGACTTTTACTTTTAATATTGGTTGCGCATGAGCATATGGTAGCAGCATAGACCATAATAAGGGCACATAGAGTTTCATTACACCTCCATAACAAGTGTCTAAAAGCATATTGTGGATTGCAATTTTGTTTACAGTTAGAAGCACACTTTTGATCTGCACCAGAGAAAACACCCCCCCCCCCCAACAAAACCCACAACATACACAGAAAACCCAAAAAATAAAAAAATAAAAAGGAAAGAAAAAAACAAACGAACATCCATAAGTGTCCACCACTTTGTGTCTCAAACTCTATGCTGATGCAGGTATTTAGAATCCCTGGGAGGGCTAACCCAACACATGGACAGATCAAAACTATGCAAACTCTTGAAGACATAGACNTTCGTTTTTAATATGGAACATGTATGTGTAACATATGGTAGCTCCAGAGACCAGAATAATGACTCCTCCATAACAGGAAGTAAATGACTACTTTTTTATTTGACATTTTAATAACAGACTTATGAGACTTTTACTTTTAATATTGGTTGCGCATGAGCATATGGTAGCAGCATAGACCATAATAAGGGCACATAGAGTTTCATTACACCTCCATAACAAGTGTCTAAAAGCATATTGTGGATTGCAATTTTGTTTACAGTTAGAAGCACACTTTTGATCTGCACCAGAGAAAACACCCCCCCCCCCCAACAAAACCCACAACATACACAGAAAACCCAAAAAATAAAAAAATAAAAAGGAAAGAAAAAAACAAACGAACATCCATAAGTGTCCACCACTTTGTGTCTCAAACTCTATGCTGATGCAGGTACTTAGATCCCTGGGAGGGCTAACCCAACACATGGACAGATCAAAACTATGCAAACTCTTGAAGACATAGACGAAGACTATGAAGCTAAAATCCATAAGCATTGCATGTTTTTGAATCGAAACTTGTATCATTCAACATTCCTAAACTTAAATCTTCTACCACTTGAACCTCTGACATGATAATACAACTTTCAGTCCATATTGAACGACTCATGATCTGGGATCCTTGAAAGTATCATCCATCACTTCACCAATACAAGAAACACATCCTTCACATCCTAAACACATCTCGGGTTTAGGGTTTAAGGTTTGGGGAAAACTTCCACATTGTTTGCTTATCCGTAACATTAGTTCTATAAAAACACCATAGATGTTCTATCCAATTAGGTTACGTTCGAAACGTCTTAGATGGAATATTTCTTCTGCTTAATTTGATTGGGTCAAATTAAGAAACTATTAACAGAATTGAATTTTACAAAAATACAAATGCTGACAAGTTAAAAAAAAAAGAAGAAGAAACTATACCCTTGAATTTCAAGAAATTGGGTCCTGAGCTCACTGCCAACACCAATGGCATCCAACACCCTCCATCCATTCTTGAAAAGCGTCAGAGATGTTCCCCCAGTTCGAAGCGAATCCGCCTGCTCGAAAACTAACGACCGAACTCCGAGCCTTAATTGCAAAACAATTACAAAAAAAAGTTATATAATCTTATCGAAATTCGATCTTATGTGTCATTCTAGGGATTTTGAGGCTTTTTGGCGAATTGAACCTTTGAAGTGAAACTGCAGTGGCCAGTCCAGCAATCCCAGCTCCAACGATGACAATATCTTCTTTCCGAACATCGACTTGGGCATTGGCAATAGATAGAGAGATGGTTCTGGTTCTAATTCTGGTTCGGAACCAAGATTGGGTCAGTAAATGTGTTCTTGATGGCGAATGATGTGAAGAAGGAAGTGAGAAAAGTGAGTTTGAATGCATAAGAGCCGAAGTGGTTAAAGCCATAGACGTTTAGTGGTGGCGCTGAGATGTTGCTGAGGGTTTTGGATGAGAGAGAGAGAGAGAGAGAGAGCGAATATGCCATGGGCAAGTGGTAAAGGCTGCTACGGCATCCATAAGACTTTTCCAGGAAGTTTTTGGGGCTCGTTTGGACGGACTTTGAGGGAGACGTTTGAATTGATTTCTCTGTACTCTTTCAAATTTAACATTGAGGTCAGTTTATACTTAAGTTTGGCATGTAATACAAATACATATAAATTTTAGGAATATATTATAATTATTAATGACTATTTAATTTATAAATAATTATTTTACTTATTGATCAATCTAACTCATATTCATATTGTTATGTTAAGGGTTCAATTATTTTTTACATCTTTAACCCATCTTCCCAAATTCGTCATCTCTTATGTTTGACAAAACTCAAAATCATGGGTATAATATCTAAGTCTGGGTCAATTACAGGTCGAATTTAAAAACTTAGGATTGAATTTATAATTCAAACATGAAATTTGGGAATCCTTTGAACTATTTTCTCCAAACCCATCTTNGGGGCTCGTTTGGACGGACTTTGAGGGAGACGTTTGAATTGATTTCTCTGTACTCTTCCAAATTTAACATTGAGGTCAGTTTATACTTAAGTTTGGCATGTAATACAAATACATATAAACTTTAGGAATATATTATAATTATTAATGACTATTTAATTTATAAATAATTATTTTACTTATTGATCAATCTAACTCATATTCATATTGTTATGTTAAGGGTTCAATTATTTTTTACATCTTTAACCCATCTTCCCAAATTCGTCATCTCTTATGTTTGACAAAACTCAAAATCATGGGTATAATATCTAAGCCTGGGTCAATTACAGGTCGAATTTAAAAACTTAGGATTGAATTTATAATTCAAACATGAAATTTGAGAATCCTTTAGAACTATTTTCTCCAAACCCATCTTGTCAAAACGCTCCTTACCTTACCAAACAGTCCATTGAAGGTTGTATTTTCTGCTATGTTGAATTAATGACTCCATTTACTTCTATGTGGCGTAGATTTTCATTTGCAGTCTAAAAATTTCTTAGCTATGGACTTGGAAACTCTCTTTTCTAATGTTGAGTATTTTTATTGAGCAATGTTTTAGGACCTAATTTATTGACTTAATTTACTATAATCGTTGGATTGATTATAGATCTCATTAAATATTAAAGTTCAGTGTTAATCTAATAATGTTTACAATGAAACCACATCATTATATCAGCAAATTAAATAAACTTTTTAAATCTCAATAGCATTATTTTTTTTTTATTTATAGATTTGAGTTATCATTCAAACACGCCGTGCATAATAAATATTTTTGGTAAATGTAAAGATTATCAAAATAAAATGGAAAAAGACGAAGAATGATAGGTTATAAACTTGTCAAGTGTTTTTGGTGTTTGGAGTTAATAAGATTGGAGGATCGCCCTCAATGTTAGATTTTAAAATTGTGAATTCGAACCTAATTGTCCATCTCCCCTGTAATAGTATGAGTTAATATGATCGTGTGATTCACATTGCATATAAAAATGGAAAATTTTGATTATGGACTGCAATTTTGTAGGCTGGAGTNAGTATGAGTTAATATGATCGTGTGATTCACATTGCATATAAAAATGGAAAATTTTGATTATGGACTGCAATTACAAAAAAGGCGCCTTTTTTGTAGAGGATTTATCCGCGCGTTCGGGATGTCCTCCCCCCACAGAAGGATTTCAGCTGACCTGCGCGTGTTCGGCAGTAGCCTTTACCTCTCTTCGCCAATAGGACCCTTTCCTAAGGCAATCCCACATCGGAAGAGAGTCGTCTTCCCCCCTGCCATATAAGTGAACACTTCCTATGGAGGAGGTACCCACTAGGCACCTGATCAGGTCGCTAGGAAGTGTTCACTTATATGGCAGGGGGGAAGACNAAAAAAAAAAAAAAAGTGGTATGGTAATAAAGCCAAATTGACTATTTGACATGTCAAATAGTAGAAAAATTATTGAAGGAGACATATAAAGACAAGACTTTGTGTTATCTTGCCTTTTGAAGAAAGGCAGATTCCCATTGTAACCCTTTACTAGGGAATCCAATGCTTGGTTATAACCTTTAACGAAAAGGCAACATTATGGTAAGAGAACCATATGTTTTTTTTGCAAAAAAATAATGTACCAATTCTCTACATTCACGAAATTAGATTGTTTATATCTAAAATTTATCTAGAACGTTTATGTTCAATTCGAGGATAGTACGATGATCGCTAGCTAGTTGAGCTGCATGACAATTGATTTGTAATTTATATCGGTTGTCCCTATACTTATTACATTGAAGATAGTGCAAACATGTTTAATAATAGGAGAATTATCTTCACAACATAATAGTGGACCCGTGACAAAAGCAAGTTATGGATTCACGCAGCCATTTCACTCTCAAATTATACATATCGGGTAAACTAAGTTTTTCATATAAGAACTAAATTTGAGAACTGGAAATAGTAATCCAAACATTTTCATGTTTAATATTCAAACCTTAAATATTATAAAGACACCTATAGTTTAAAGCTCTTTAATTGTTTTCTTGGAAATGGGGTAGAACATTGTGCAAGTGCTTTGTCATTTAATTCATTGTAGGGCAATATAAGTTATTGTTTATTTGCTCATTAAAGAAAAGTGGGGTGAAGGAGAATGTCCGGTGACCACTTTAATATATTTTCATTGGTGAGATTATGAAGCATCTGACCATTTCTATTACTTTTCTAAAAAACGAATTTAGTTAGACTAACATAACAATTAATTATCGAATCTCAATATAAATTTCAAAACTCAAATNCCGTGCTTAATCTTTTTGTTAATACCTCTGATACGATTTTCAAAACCTGGTTGTTCTCAAGTTCGAACTCATGATTCATTATTAAAAATTATCGTTTTACCCTTGCACCTTCGATAAATAGCAATTAAGACCTAATGTACTCCCCCTCAAGTCATTTAACAAATGTCCTAAAGTAGGAAACATGGCCGGCCCTGTAGCGTAAAATAAAAGCGCGGGCTTTAGGCCCCAAGCATAAAAAAGTCCCAAATTTAAAGATCAACAATGTAATATTATTTAAAAAATAAAATTTATTACAATATAGTCTAACAAAATAATTTTTAAAAGAGTAAATAAGCAAAAAAAATTAAAATTTGGGCCTAAAAGTCCAAACCACTTCACACAATTACATTTATTAACCAAAAAAAATATTAACAAAAAAAAGTATTGATTAAGTCTATCTCTTTCTTCGATCGAAAGAAATATAATAAATATTTTTTTTAGTAAAAAAAAAAATCAAACCAAACACATTATCTATTTTTCTTAAACTTGTTTTTTTCTCCTTTGAACGCAAAACACCAATTAAACCATTAATTCTCATTAATATATATATTTTTTTTGGGGGGTGGGGAGGGGGAGGAGAGACTTGAATCCTTAACCTCAAGAAAGACAAAACCTTCATAAGGTAAAGAGTACCATTGGACCAAAAGTCCGTTGGTTATTCTCATTAATAAAATGTTTTGATAAAGTTCTTTTTCGTAACAAATAAAATATAATAAAAATTGAAGTGAAATTTGCATTGATAAATAAATAAAATTCAAAGATAGAAAAATAATTTAAAAGAAAGATAACAATGAATTAATTTATAATAAAATTAATCATCTAATACTACAGTTTCGATAAACAACATATAAAACAAATAAAAAGAATATAAAAATATTAATGAAGAAATTAATTTTATTCCTATAAATATTTATGATCAAAAATTATATTATTAATCAAAAAAATATATTAGCAAAATTTGAATAAAAAAGTCATTAGCAATTTCAAATCTCATCAAAAAATAAAAATAATAGATTTTAAATAAAAAATTAAATTATTATTAAGAAAATAAAAAAGTCTCATTAGTCGTTATTACATTAGGCCCAAATGTTGTTGACTCGTCCCTGGTAGGAAAAGGAAGTAAGTAAAGTAGAGTTGATGGTCTAATGATAAGTCATACTCGTTTAACTTCATCTTTGATTGTTACGCGGTCATTAAGTAGGGTTTGATTTACAAAAATAATGTTGTTTACTAATTGATTTTGGTGTTGTTGTGATGATTGTCTACTCTTTCGGGTTAATAGCTATGGTTTATAAACTCTCATGATCACGTCTAGCAGATTTTACTGCATACTAATCACTTCTCCCTTTTCTGTTTCTGATCAAAAAAAAAAAAAAAGTGGTATGGTAATAAAGCCAAATTGACTATTTGACATGTCAAATAGTAGAAAAATTATTGAAGGAGACATATAAAGACAAGACTTTGTGTTATCTTGCCTTTTGAAGAAAGGCAGATTCCCATTGTAACCCTTTACTAGGGAATCCAATGCTTGGTTATAACCTTTAACGAAAAGGCAACATTATGGTAAGAGAACCATATGTTTTTTTTGCAAAAAAATAATGTACCAATTCTCTACATTCACGAAATTAGATTGTTTATATCTAAAATTTATCTAGAACGTTTATGTTCAATTCGAGGATAGTACGATGATCGCTAGCTAGTTGAGCTGCATGACAATTGATTTGTAATTTATATCGGTTGTCCCTATACTTATTACATTGAAGATAGTGCAAACATGTTTAATAATAGGAGAATTATCTTCANTCTCTCTCTCTCTCCTTATGCTTCCACCACTAGAAGCCCAGTATCCATTAATCCTTTCCAATACAAAGAAAAGAGTCCACAAGTGACACATTCCCATTTCCAAAACCCATATTCACCCAAACCAGCTTTCCTCCGCATATTTCTCTCTCCTTTGCTTTCACCTGTCCTTTAATTGTCCATTCCCTTTCCATCATCAATTCATCACTCCTTTCCATCTACCCCCTCATTGCACCAACGACTTTTTAATTACCCTTCTTTTACTTTTTATGGTGCTATCACTTATTTTTTTATTATTGTAATTTGTGTTTAAAGATATAGTGTAATGTGAATGATTTTGAAGTGAATATTTGTGACCATTGGATAAATTTATTTAAAAATCTGTCATATTTTATATTATAAAAATTTACTAATATAATCAAACCAACGAGTAAAAAAGAAAACAAAAAAACCAAGACAGTGACAACGCTTAAGTTGAATGAGATATACACAATTTTATCTCGTAATTAAATAAGACACATGGTTAGAAGTTCAGTTAATAATAGCATTATTAATAACAACATCACCTACAACAATCACGGTCGTTTTATTAAGCTAATATGAAAAGATAAAAAATGGCTGTGGCATCTGGTAAATCCCCAAACCAACCTCATCCCTCCTCACAATCATAAATGGAGTTCCAAAAATCAACCACAAAGTAAAGGGCAAAAAGGTAAATACAAATAGAAAACCTGAGAGGAATTAAAATAATAATAAAAAAAAAAAAAAAAAGAATACACAACTGGGTTACCTTAATCTACACCAAAATCAAAACGATGATTGAATTCAGTGCCTATTTGTTTAAACAAGGAGTGCCACTCCTCCAAGCAACCCTAGAATTGCCATACTACTTCCATGCATGAAAGCTCCTGAGTTTGGGGGTGGTTCCGACGGTGGCATCCCGGGCGGCGGCGACGACGGTGACATGGGCGATGTTGCAGCGGGCGCCGGCGGAGAAGCGGGCATTGTGGGTGCACCTTCTGGTGGGGAACTCATTGATGGACCAGGGGTTATTGCCGGAGGGGGCATTGAAGGCGCAACCATTGGTGGCTGTGACATGGCTGGTGGTGTTGATGTCATAGGTGGCATCATCGGGTATGGTGTTGTCACAGGTGGCATCATCGGGGGTGGTGTTGTCACAGGTGGCATCNTGCAGCGGGCGCCGGCGGAGAAGCGGGCATTGTGGGTGCACCTTCTGGTGGGGAACTCATTGATGGACCAGGGGTTATTGCCGGAGGGGGCATTGAAGGCGCAACCATTGGTGGCTGTGACATGGCTGGTGGTGTTGATGTCATAGGTGGCATCATCGGGTATGGTGTTGTCATAGGTGGCATCATCGGGTATGGTGTTGTCATAGGTGGCATCAGCGGGGGTGGTGTTGTCACAGGTGGCATTATCTGAGGTGGTGGTGTCATAGGTGGCATCATCGGGGGTGGTGTTGTCATAGGTGGCATCATATGAGGTGGTGGTGTTGTAGGTGGCATCATCGGAGGTGGTGGTGTCATAGGTGGAGGGGTTGTCATCTGAGGTGGTGGTGTCATAGGTGGCATCATCGGAGGTGGTGGTGTCATAGGTGGAGGGGTTGTCATCTGAGGTGGTGGTGTCATAGGTGGCATCATCGGAGGTGGTGATGTCATAGGTGGAGGGGTTGTCATCTGAGGTGGTGGTGTCATAGGTGGCATCATCGGAGGTGGTGATGTCATAGGTGGAGGGGTTGTCATCTGAGGTGGTGGTGTCATAGGTGGCATCATCGGAGGTGGTGATGTCATAGGTGGAGGGGTTGTCATCTGAGGTGGTGGTGTCATAGGTGGCATCATCGGAGGTGGTGATGTCATAGGTGGAGGGGTTGTCATCTGAGGTGGTGGTGTCATAGGTGGCATCATCGGAGGTGGTGATGTCATAGGTGGAGGGGTTGTCATCTGAGGTGGTGGTGTCATAGGTGGCATCATCGGAGGTGGTGATGTCATAGGTGGAGGGGTTGTCATCTGAGGTGGTGGGGTTGTCATCATTGGGGGTGGCGCTGCGGTGGTAGAGGGTGGCATTGCGATGGACATTGGTGGTGAAGATGGAGCTTGGGCTGCAGAGAAGGCAATGAAGGCAAGGGATAAGATTGACACGAGCATGGCACGTGAGAGAGCCATGGCTCTGTGAGTATGAAGAGCACAGGCTTGTGATTGTGAAGGAGGTAGTATGTGAGGAACAGGAGATAGAATAAGGGCTGAGGATGATATATAGATAACATAAGCAGATAACATAAGCTGAGGGTTTGAAGAATTATCTCACTAGGCTCACAGCTGTGTGCATAGAGTCTACATGCAGCCATGTGCAAGGGATAACACGTATATTAATGAAACCCCTGCAAATTCTTGTGCTTTTTTAAAGAGTAAATATAGTGGTTAAGCAATTCTGTGTTATTTATGAAAACACATTATAGGAAGATACCTCTTGGGTTCTTGGTATGTTTTGAAATCTTCACGAGTTAGTTTGAATGGTAATAAAGATGAATTATAAATTTAAATATTTTAAATTTAAATTTTATTGATAACTCTTTAATGTTTGGTCATAAAAAATTTATTCTTTACGAACAGTCTAGTCCCAAGGGAAATGTCCTATTTTTAATCAAATTAAATAAGAGATTAGTTAAATTGCGCATAAATTAATCGATCTGTACACCCTTGAGTCTGAAGCCAAAAAAAAAACATAATACCTTTTGGAGACTAACAAGGAATTGTTATCTACGGAGGAGGATCGACAAAATTAGACCGAGGAATGAAATATTTTTTTGAAAAATAAAAAATCTAATAAAAATGTAATAAGGGGGTGGGGGGTTTCAAATCTTAGATGGGTGATTGTCCTTTGCATATCTCCTCCACCATATTTCTAAACTTAATTATTAATCGACATTGTATTATTTTTTTAAAATTTTTTGATTCTTTCAAGGCATTTAAATTTCAAAATATATTTTTCTTATATTTTGCTCTTCAATCTCATAACCCATAAAAAAAAAAATCCCATAACCCACAAGAAAGTGGCCAACTAACCTTTAACAAAAGGGTCTTTTTTTCCAACCCAAAAAGCATAAGACTTTCTTGCCCCAACCAGTCATAGAAGCATTCTAAAAATGAACAATAAAGAGGCAACAAAGTAAGTTGTCCTAAGGCCCCATGGATTGTGGTGGTTATTGTCCCTTTGCTTTCATTGACTTGTCTGCTTAAAGCCATGGACTTGACAAAAATTTCAATACCTATAATTTTATTATTTTAATTAATACTTTTATAATTTTATAGGTTATTTTACAATAATTTTTTTTATTTTTATAAATAATTTATCATTTTTGTGAATATTTTTATTACATTTTAGAATTGATAACAAGAATCAAAAAAAATAATAAAAATAAGTACCACAAAAACAATAAATGGCTATAGGATACTTTTTTTTGTTTTTTTGGTAGCGTAGACTTGTCCTAAAGTCATTGTCCTCCCCCAAAAAATCATATTGTGCTCTAATGGCCCAAATAAAAGCACAACACCCCAATCCCAACCACAACAAAAAAGGATGGGGAGAGGGAACAGAATCACATACAAAATGACTTTATGGTTGCACTAACCAAACCCGTGACTGCTGACTTAATCACGAGATTTCCAATTGAAAACAGGGCATTTTTTTCTAAATTTTCCATGTTGTACCGGAATGCTATCATTCCAATTCGAGTACATTAAAGTATTTTTACTTTATTTGACTTAGATTTTATAAAAAAATAATGTTATAATAACAAAATAGTTTTCTGTGACAATGGAACCACATTACCCTAAAAAGACGGTCCACAACTACCCGTATTAATAAGTTACGTCTTGTTTAATTTTTAACTTGTGAAATTCAGCATCGTATTAAATTTTATTTAATTAAATATCTATACATTTTTATTTTTAACTTATAAAAGTCAATATTATATTAAAATTTATTTAATTAATATTCAATCTATTTGTAAACATATAAAAAATATTTATTTATATTAACTCATTTATTGAACGAATCTAACGAATCAAGCTGGTAATTATATAAATTTATTGAAATTAAAATCATACCCTTTTAACTTCTAGTTGGTTTGACCGAAAGTATTATATCAACCCCATCCACAAGTGTCAACTAGTGCAAATGAACAGCACTAGTGAGAATTAATTTATTATATTTATTAAATTTAATTATGAATTTCATTAAATATCAAAACTTGTTATTTTCCAAAAAAGTTTGCATATTTGTCCTAAAGAATCCTACATTGTCGGTGCTAAAGTCTCATCGCTATCCTATGGTGCCAACTGGCGCGCGCATGTGGTCCTCTTTTTCTCTGGAAATTCCGAGGGAGTGGGGGGTGATTCAGCACAGAAAAGGGCGTCTGTGAGGGTACTTCAGTCATTTGACATCACAGCTGGCCGTTTGACGGGACAGCGGGAGTTAAGACAGGGGAACCACTGTTGTGATGTTCCAATACTGACATTTTCACATTGACTCACCAGTCTCTTTCAAATTTCAATCCTGTCTATATTACATTTATTATCGGAAATTACAATTTATATGTCATAATCTTCAAAAATACAAAGTTTAGAAAAATTTTATTTTCTTAGAACTTTTTTCAATCAGTAAAAAATTATAATTTAAGCCGTAATATAGAACGTAAGATCCAAATAATCAGAGCGATTGCTGTGTTGCACGTAAGAAGACAAATACGAAATTAAACAAGCCAATGGATAAAAACGGGTCAACACCATTAAACATAAAAACAATTATGTCAAATTCATATNCTTAGAACTTTTTTTCATCAGTAAAAAATTATAATTTAAGCCGTAATATAGAACGTAAGATCCAAATAATCAGAGCGATTGCTGTGTTGCACGAAAGAAGACAAATACGAAATTAAACAGGCCAATGGATAAAAACGGGTCACCACCATTAAACATAAAAAAAATTATATCAAATTCATACAAAAATTAGGTTGATTAACCCATATATTTTAAATTGGTTGACATAATTTCGACACGAACCCGACCTAATTTATTGTAGACCCGTTTATGACAGTATAATTTGTCTATTATATATGACTGATGTGATTTTAACATTATTAATTATTACTTTTATTATGGTAATTGACAGTGTAGTTCTTAATATTATTTTATGTCATTATAATAGTATAGTTTTTGATTTAATTTTTGGGTTGAAACTTGAATACATTTTAGTTAATTTCATTGATAAGATGTGATATATTATTGGTGAAAAAATTATTTAAAATTTTGAATGAATGATTGAATGATGTATTTAATAATAATGAACAGGTGTGATAACAGATTATGTGTGTTAAATAAGTTATGTTATGTATGTTAACCCGAAAACAACCTGTTTATTAAACATGTCAAATAACTCGGGTTCAGATAAGCTATTTAATTGTCATATCAGGTTAGTGTTTACACATCTCGACATGATTATTAAACATGTTACGTTCGTGTTTTGGAATTTACGACACAAGCTCGAAATTAACTTGACAAGAAATGACCTAACCTGACACGTTTGACACCGCAATGTAAGCATGACTATGCATTTTATTATATAAATTTTCTATCCATTTTAAAATTTATTTTACTATTTTATTCTATTTTTTCAATGATTAATTAAAACAAATAACTCAAGTCAATATCTAAAAAATTATTTTTTATACCATAATGTTGTCCTATTTTTTTTTTTTAAAAATTAATGTTATCGTATTTGTTATAATAGTAAAAATGTCAAATTACCGTCCACAATTCAACATACATTTCACCGTTACTACACTTGTCAAAAAAATTTTTTGATCAATTAAATAAATATTTATGGTTTTGATATATTTTTGGCACACATATTATTGTATATTGTTATACAAAATTATGTCAACATTGATCAAACCATAAATATTTTATATTTTATAATTTATATGTAATCACTTCTGACTATACCCTGTTTCAACATTGAACAAACTGGGTAATAAATAATTTTTATTTATCATCTCATATAAACATATCAGATGCCCAATTGAACAGTCCATGGATTTTATTGGGAGTGCAATTCGGGCATATTGAGAAGTCAACCCGAGTCTAATATTAGGTATATAATTTTCAACCCTTACCCTACGTCAACCAGAGTTTAATTCGAATAGGTTTGAGTTGAATTCGAGTTACTTAATTCGGGTTGATTTTTTCAAGTATAGATCTGATTTTTTCAAGTGATCTGAAATAAAGGGCGAAACGCAGATGAAGAGAGAGGGAGGGAGGAGTAAGGAATGAGAAAGGGAGGTTGAGAGTCTGAGACAATTCAGACGAGTGACGATTGAGAGAGGGAGACAGAGAGAAGGAAGAGTGACGAGTAAGAGGGGAGATCCAAGAGTGATGGGGATGCAAGGGTAAAAACTTGAAAGGAAGTAAAAGTTTGGACTCTAAAGAGTGAAGATAAATACTAATCTTAGTTAAAAATATTTATATATTTATGTATATTTGGGTTCCATCCGATTTAATATTCGAGTTGAATTCGACAACCCAATGTCTCAACCCGATGCTTGTCCAAATTCAATCCGAGTTGGGATTTTTTTGTCCAGACTCAACTTAAGTGTTAAAAATTCTAACTCAAACTCTGTTTTTTTTCAGGTTGAATTCAGGTCTGCTCTCCCAAGTTACACCCCTAGATTTTACGGACTCTTTTTATTTTTTTTATAGTTTTTTTCCCTCATGTTCCTTCCCACAATAATTAGACAACCTAATCATTTTTTTTTTACTATAGAGTATTCAAGTTTTTGCCGATTATTTTTTCGAGTTCAATGGCTAACCACCGTAATTTAAGCTAAATTAGAGTAATTCTCTAAAGGAACAAGAGAAACTAACTTTTAGGGACGTCAGAAAGAATTAAACCTAAAAACCTCTTAATTTTCAAAAATCAGATTCGATCACTAAGAGCATCTCCAACTCACACTCCATTTCCTCCTCTTTTTTTTTTTTTTTTTTTTTTTTATCTATTTTAACTAGCTAAACACAAAAAAAACTCTCTAACCCACTTTTTATCTCACTCCCTATTTCCCATTTCACTCAAATGACTCTCCAAATGTGGAAAAGTCATTTAGTCTCTCTAAATTATCTCTCTCATCTCTCTCTATATATATGTTGTATTCTTTTTAATTTGATTGGATGGTAGTAAAAGTTGAGTGAAGTAGTTAGTTAAAATAGAGAATATAGTTGACATGAATTTTGTAAGGGATTAAATCGTGCGTTCGGATCTCCTCCCCCACCGAAGGATTTTGACTGACCTGGACCCCTTCTTTGGGCAATCTAGTAGCTTTTACCTCTCAGTGCCCATGAGGAGCTCATCCTACATCGATTGAGAGTCGTCTCCTCCCCTCGCATATAAACCTGCACTTCATATGGAAGAAGTACCCACTAGCCACTTGATCAAGTGGCTAGTGAGTACCTCTTTCATAGGAAGTGTTCACTTATATGGCAGGAGAGAGACAACTCCTACCCTATGTGGGATGGAGGTCAAAAGCTACTGGGGGGTCGTTTAAGGGGTTAACCTAAGTTCAGAGGGAGGTAATCCTGTCCACCAAAATGCGCCTTTTTGTAAGGGATTAAATCGCACGTTTGGATCTCCTCCCCCACCGAAGGATTCTGACTGACCTGGACCCCTTCCTAAGACAATTCATTAACTTTTACCTCTCAGTGCCCATGAAAAGCTCGTCTTACATCGACTGAGAGTCGTCTCCCCCTCGCATATAAGCCTGCACTTCATATGGAGGAGGTACCCACTAGCCACTTGACCTCCTCCGTATGAAATGCAGGCTTATATGCGAGGGGGAAGACGACTCTCAGTCGATGTGAGACGAACTTCTCATGGGCACTGAGAGGTAAAGATTACTGAATTGTCTTAGGAAGGGGTGCAGATCAGTCAGAATCCTTCGATTGAGAGAAAAAATCCGAACGCGCGATTTAATTTATAAAAATAACTAACTAAAATAGAAAATAAAATATTTTAATATATTTTTACTAACTATTTTTAAGAGTTAAATTAGAGATGCTCTGAATCACGCCTGAGAATTATAAAATAATCATGTTTGACATGATAATAAAGATTGACATTAGACTTTGGAGTTTTCAAAAAGGACGTTAAAGTTTGATTGTTTTCTATTCTATTAATGATAAGTTTTGTGGGAGTATAGTATTCACATGCCATACTCTTGAACTTTCTTAACTACTTCTTAAAATATCTCTGTTACGAGGATTTTTAACCTTGATTTATATTTAGACTTAAATTTAAATTTGTATAAAAGAATTTAAAAATTTTGGTCCAACTTTTAACTTAAATTTATACCAAATCAAGAGTGACTCATTTTTTAACTCAAATCTTTAATGGTGAGATTTCATATTCTTTTAAAAAACTAATGATCATCTTTATTATCTTTTAAATTTGAGTTTGACCTCATTTAAATTTAAGTTTCTTCTTCTTTAAATTTTTTCATCAGAGTCATTTGTATCAAATAAATTTTTTTAGTTAAATTTAAATAAAAATTTGAGTCATGGTTAAATATACTTTAACTATATTTGCTATTGTATTTTGGTTTAAAATTACAAAGGATCACATCCAAGTTTTTCATATACGGAGAAGAAATTTATCACTGACTTAACACTCTTGATAATTATATAATTTAGATTGAAATTTGAGTTCTATTGTTGAAATCAATTCTTGGGTTGAAATTAGGGTTGGTTCGATATTGATCTTTTGTCGTGTTAATTCAAGTATTTACAATTTTTTTCCAGCTCAATTTAAGCATTGGGTAATTTTTGTCCAAATATTGGGCAAATTGCCCACAAGATGAACATTAACTGCTATGTCCCATTGAAGCTCCATTATATTTCACCAAAGGGCAGAGATGTTAAAATATGACATAATTTGTTAATACACTATAAACATGATATAAAATTAGAAGTTTTAGATATCTTTAAATCACACGTTTCATAAACGAGTAGATCGAACATAATACGAGTAATAAACGAGTTAGGTATGAGTGAATCCAGTCAAAAGAAATACACACCATGAATCAAATATAACACAATTTATTAAATATAAATTAATAAATAAATCAAATACGAATAAAATATTTTTTGAAACATATGCACTAAGACATAATACAACACCGTCTCACCCGACACAACAAACAACCCTAGTGGGGATGGCACCATGGACTGAAACAACCAGGCCACCAATTCCATACTAAAATAAAGCCAGAACACCCAAAAACAACCCATACACCAGATTGTATCTATGGCCATTGAGTGTAGTAAATATGGGGAATAACAATTATATCTTGTCAGTGTTGTTAAGTGATATAATTATCTAAAAATAAATAAACAAGTGAGCAAAATTTACTCGTCACACTCGCAAAAAAAAATTAGTGTAATGTGAAAATTAAGACAAGGCTAAAGACAAGTTATGGGAATTGAAAACAAAGCCCGACAAATCCAAGTCGGACTCGACCCATGAACCAGGTAGCAGTTAGCACTCAGCCCAATCTTGCATTTTCAGCGGCCGACGATAGACGGATAAGGCTATTTCTTTCCTTCTGCTCAGTCACTCCTTCAATCTGCAAGAAAACCTTTCACTCCCATGAACTAAATTCCATCAGCAATCCCTTTTCCTCTTCTCTCTCATACCATGGGCTCCAATGTCGTCCCTCAGGTAATCTTATTTGTGTGTGTGTGTGTGGGTGGGTGTGTAATGTATATATACGTGTCTGTTCATATGCTTTTTGTATTTGTTTGGCTATTAATTGAAAAGAATTGAAAGTTTGATTTGCAGGCTCTGTTTATGATCCATAGAAAGCCTACTCAATGGCCTATGCCGAATCTAGGGTTTTCATCTTTCGTCTCTCGCGCTTCCTCTTCGTTCGGTTCAACTCCAGTTTTAACTTCTATCAGGGTTTCGGTGAACTCTTTCGGCTCCAGCTTCGACCCACTGGTCTCAAAATTGGCCAATCGGTCTTTCATTGTCAGAGCGGAAGCGGATCCAGGAACAGAATTGGAAGTTGTTGAGAATGTAGAAGAGAATGTGGTGGTTGTTGAGTCTGAAGCCGAGGAAGCTGAATTATTATCGGAGGCTGAAGCCGAGGAAAAACCACCAAGGAAGCCCAGGGTTAAGCTGGGAGAGATAATGGGGGTATTCACTTGAAATTCCAATATTTTCCTTATAATTTATGTTTGGCTGCTGAGAAAATTCAATTAAACGAGGCTGAATTGGTTTAAATTGTTGGATTCCTGGAATTTTGATTGGTTTAGTATGAAAAATAATTGAATTTGATGAGAATTTTTGTGGTTTTTGAGTAGATTTTGAATAAGCGGGCGATTGAGGCGTCAGATAAGGAAAGACCTACACCAGACCTAAGAACTGGTGATATTGTCGAAATTAAGCTGGTAACTGGTGCTTTTTATCTTTGTGACTTACTAAATTGGGTGGTTGTTTGTTTTTCTCTAGGGCCTTTTTTTGATTACGTTATAAATTTTGACTTATAGGAAGTACCAGAAAATAGGCGTAGGTTGTCAATCTATAAAGGTATTGTTATCTCCAAGCAAAATTCTGGTATTCACACTACAATTCGGATTCGGAGGATTATTGCAGGCATTGGAGTGGAGATTGTATTCCCCATGTAAGTTATAAATTTTGCACTGCTGCTGACTCAAAAAATTATGCTAACAGCTTATCTATGCAATTATAACAGCTTATCAAAGATATGTATGTAGTAATAAAACTGGTGAACCTTAATATGCAGCCTCCACTGCTTTCTAGTTTTCATCAGGTATACGCTGACACATATGCTCCATTAAAAATTTCACACTCCCAGTCATCCATATCAGCTATGAATGAGTTGGTATATTAAAAATATGGTAAGATTTAAGTAAGAGACATTTCTTGAGAGTCTACAAATCCCCTTTGGTCTTTGCATGGAAGGAATGAATTTTGGATTGCATGAGTCAGTTGATTGTCTTGAAACGGAGCCTTGCTATGATTAATATGGGTTGGCTGTCATTTGGACACAGCATTTTGCAATTTTGGTGGACTGTAGTTTGGCTGACTAGATGTTATGCGTGGAAAGTATTAACTTAATTTTGTGGCTACAAATGCCACTATATTTTTAGGTTCTACAGGGTATTACCTGTTCTGATTTACTTGACGTCCAAAACATGTTATCCCCTATTCGACACTAGACATGAGTACAGGCCTTCTTTCTTATGGTCGTGGATTTTTTCAGCCATATTTTGAATGTATAGAAGTTCCCTTCAGTTCTCCAGCCAGATGCTATCTCTTCTCCTTTCCAATCATTATTCTCTGGCACAAATTTTCCCTCCTTACTTTTTTCTTGGTCGTCTAGGATTCACCCAAATTTATTTAGTAGGGCAACACTCGTAAGTGTTCCAACAGATTTATATAATGTATTCATTGTGGTTACCAAAAGCTAAAGTCAGTATTTATTGTCTCAGTTCAGTGTCAAACAGGATTCATCTTGTCTTCTGCTCCAGGGGTAAAGGCAATCTGTTATAGACTCCAACCTATTGACTATGATGTGAATGTTACCAGGGGTTGGGGTTAACAGTGAGTTTAAGATTGCTAAGGATAAGACTATAAGAGACATTCACCTAAAACTTAAGCAGAGGCAATACATACTTGTTGATAGATCATAACTAATGGCATTAATGTTTAATAGTGGTAGTGGCCACGCTTGAATGAGTGAATGTGATCCTATTCTGCTGTTTTCTTGATCTTCTGAATTCTCTAACAACAATAAATTGCTACAAGAATATCAAAGTTGTGAAATGGAGATTACTTTGGGCACTTGATTCTAAAATACAGCTGATTTGTGTCTGGAACTTCATTGCTGATGATTTGAAAGAAAATTTTCATCTTGAATTCCGCTGAAGCCTTCGTTCTGACTCTTCTTTTACTTATTGTTTCCTATTATGATTCTCTCTATTAGGAGGATGGGGCCTAATTTGCATTTTTTTGGCCATTATTACAGATACTCACCAAACATCAAAGAAATCAAAGTAGTTAAGCACAGGAAGGTCAGGAGAGCAAGATTGTATTATCTAAGAGACAAGCTTCCCAGGCTCTCCACTTTCAAATGATGCTCATGGATGCAGCCATGTCTAGTGTATCCGGCTTTTTAAGTGGCCTTTACTCTTGCTGAGAAGTGCTAGTAAATGCATTTAATTTTTTTTCGTCAGATATATTTTATGATAAATATATCATTACTCCCTTTTTGGTTTACTAACTTGCTCTGCTGGTTAGATTTGCAATTTTTAGTGGCCATCAAGCCTTGCATCAGTCTATCATTCTATTTGATTTTTTTTGGCTGTGAGAGTATGTGTGCATATGTGTGTGTGTGTGTGTGAGAGAGAGAGAGAGAGAGAGAGAGAGAGAGAGAGAGAGAGATCATACCCACCCTTGAGTCACCTTGACATTCTGGAGTTTTTGCATCTTGAGTCCTTGATTGTGGTGATTGGTTGTCTTTCTTGCCATGTAGTGTTCGCGTATTTCTGTTCTTGTAACTGTTCGTTCTTAGCTGTTTTATTTGTGGTTACTGATTAGTTGATCTGTTTGTTATGTTAAACGTTAACGTGTGAACTTGCATTATCGATAGTGATCAAAATTTATAAAACCCGGTGGCACTGATTTCTCAACCATTCTTCATGAGAATAGACAATGACAACTATTGTATTATAAATGTGCAGCTTGTGTACAAGGCAACCCTTCAAAGCAAAACGATAGATGGATAAGTAGTCAAACTGGGGGCAGACGCATTCAATTTCTTGTTGCGGTTCCCAATTGTGATGTAATGGCATAAGATGGTTCAAATGCTGAAGTAATTGGCCATTAAATTTGGTGGCATTTGTTTCTATGTGAAGTTCTTTTCTGTGATATGATTTCTAGGTGAAGGTCAATGGGGCCATTTTGATGGTGAAAGATGAGAATATTCAGGAGAAAATATTTGGTACTTATAATGCATGCACCACATGACAGTCTCCGTTGGTGCTTATATCTATTAAAAAATTATCACTACCTTGGTTTTATGACACACGTCATCAATTAATTGAGAACATGTATGTTACGATTTATGGACTTACCTTGAATCAAATTCAATTAGTAAAATTGGGCGTAACATAAGTTACTTGATTTCAAGCTAGCTTTAATTTTAAGTTCAAAAATTTTAAAGTGAATAGTAAATGAGTTGAATTTTGATTATTGGATCTTATTTCTTGAATTGAACCATATTAACCTCTGAATCACATTTTTAGTTATAATAATAATAATAAGATTAGATGACATATCTATTGAGATATCATTTGATTAAAAAAATTAGATAGAGTTATATAAGGTGGTTGTAGTATTACTTTTGTCCACGTTCCCCAGTCACTTGGGCCTGACCTTTAATAAAAGTGGATTAAGCCAGACTAGCCAACAGCAAAGCCAACTCTCTCTCTCTCTCTCCGCTCTGATTGAAGCTCTTCCGTCTCCGCTATAGGAGGGTGTTTAACAAACAACAGGGGTCCTCTCTCCCTCTATCTCTCTCTCTCTCACACACACACACAGACACAGAGTTCATTTCGGACAATAGAACCGATCTTTGTGGCTGAAGCTGCCAATTCAGAATCGGACCGAGCCAATTCCGTCGTTCTCGCCTCCATCTCCGCCACCAGTTAGTTAGTCCCTTTTCGTATCCTGAAGTTTCGTCACCTCCACTCTTTCGTGTCTTTCAATTTTTTATTTTTGTCCCACACACACACTCTTTCTCTTCGCTACAGATTTTTGATCTATGGGGGTTGCTGTTTTTTGCTCTATTAATTGTTCAGGATAGGGTTTGGTTGATTGGTCATTGTTCTCTCTCTCTCTCTTGAGGATTGATCTGGTGTGGCAGTCATCGCAATGAGTGGTACCACGGGCCAGTTGATCTCTGTTCATCCCGACGAGCTCAAGTTCCAGTGTACGTACAATCCTTCTCTCTCTGCGTGTGTGAGGGTGGATTTCTGTGTTCTTAATCCTTCAATATCATTTTTTATTGGGTGCTCTTTATGAAATATTTTGTTTTGATAAGTTATTCTAGATGTTAACGATGCCCACAAATGAAATGAATTTTACATAAGCTTGCTTGCTCACAAGCTAAATTCGGTGCCAAAGTGCACATTTCAATAACTATGTTAACGCTAAACATAGAATGAATCTGCGGGAGTCACGGAGTGTGGCACAACAATTATGTACTCATTGTTTAACTGTTTTGAGGAAAAAAACTGAAAAAGGAAAACTGATTGGATAGATTGGAAGAGATTATATAAGAGAAGCACAACTTGACGGAAACCTGAAATATAAACATTTGAGGTAGGATTGAACACTATTACTAGAAGAGGATAGATTTATTCTGGTCCTGAGGTCATATGACGCTTGCTTCTGTATAGTGCCAAATTTAATTGTTGACATTAGAACATCACTCTGTAAGCATTAATTTGCAGCTTGATTATTAGGTTCAATATGTTGGTCTCGCAATATTCTCTCTCTTCTTGGTAACTGGTTTTTCCATCACTGCAATTTTATCAAGTTATGATGGACTTACAGCTGTGGGTCTTCCTTTTATCAGTTGAGCTGGAGAAACAAAGTTATTGTGATCTTAAAGTTGTGAACAACACAGAAAACCATGTTGCTTTCAAGGTACTATCTATGATACCATGTTGCTTTCAAGGTACTATCTATGATGCTTTATGCCAAACTAAGCCACTCACAAGTGGATACTTATAATTTTGTCCATCTTGTAATTCAGCTGGTTATATCTATCATCGCCTTTTCTTTTTCTTTGCTAGGTCAAAACTACTTCTCCGAAGAAGTACTTTGTACGACCAAACACCAGTGTTATACAACCTTGGGACTCATGTGTCATAAGAGGTGCAATTCTTTATCTTGTCAATCTTTTAGCAGAGAATGCTGTTTATCTAGCTTGGACCGTTTCGCAAATTGCATTGTTTTCTTTTGTTTTAATGCTGCTGCAATGTATGTAAACATGATGAAGAAATATTGATTGGCCACGTATGTCAAACAAGTGCAAACAGGAGACTCAAACAGAACATGATATGGACACCCCTACATAATAGATCCTGGTGTGTATGATGCATGTAACCATCATTTACAAGAAATTTAATTAATTGCATGACTTGGAAGGTTCTGCTTATGAAATCTGACATGCAAATATATTATGCCACAATACTCTCCTGTTATAACCATTTCGTTGTAATACGTTAGTGGACGTGATTGACCTATGTTGGACGTGTGAATAATTTCACAAATATTGTTTTACAGTATGCATCAAGTCCAACACTGGCTTGGTTTTTCTTAAGAACTCTCTGTACTACATAGTCAACAATACGGTGTATCAGTTTGCATATTGGCTACATTTTTAATCCTAATTTCAACTTACTGCTGTACCTGTAGTCACCCTTCAAGCTCAACAAGAGTACCCCCCAGATATGCAATGCAAAGATAAATTTCTGATACAAAGCACCACAGTGCCTCCTCATACTGATGTTGATGAACTTCCACAAGATATTGTGAGAATGTTTACTTGGAGAATATTTATTCGTTTCACTGGCTTGTTTATTCTCTTCTGAATATAAAATATTGTTATTTTGTCCTGCACAAAACTTGTACATTGCTGCATGCAGTTTACTAAGGACAGTGGAAGAACAATAGAGGAGTGCAAGCTTAGAGTTGTGTACATCTCTCCTCATGCAGCTCCTGGAACTTCAGGAGAGGGCTTCAAACAGAGCTTTGATACTAGCTCCGTGAGTCCTATAGTAGTTTGCATTCTTATGTAGCTTATTCAGTGTTTGTCTGGTGTTTTCCCCCTTCCTTTGTCATTTTCTTGTCTCAGTAGAGATAGGGACACAGCTATTTGTACTCATTTTCCACCAAAAAATTATTTGTACTCCAATCTATTGCTGTTTACCCTCCACCAGTCTTTTTATAATTGCTTTGATATATCTTAGTGATGCATTGTCAAACCATTCTATGTATCAAACAATCAACCCATTTGGCATTTGATTTTTGAGTACGGCAAAAAAAATTGTATCACACTTTCTGGGCATAATCTTTTGTTTCTCCTCCATTTGCAGATGGACCATCCCACAAGTTCTGAGGATGTGAGTAATCAAATTATTGCTCTTTCCTTCATGCATTTCTTTTGTTTTATCATTTACTCATTGGTTTTTTTCACATTTTTAAGTGATTGATGCGTGTGGAATTGCCATACATATGTGTTTTTACATTGGGTACCTATGTGTGGGTTTTTGATTTATTCCTGTTAATTGAGTTGGATAATAGATGCAACAGAATGACATTTCATTTCTAATGTACTCCATGGCAGGACATTGCTAGTAAGGTTGTAGTAACATCCCTGTGTTAACAGTGTTTTTCTGGCTCCTGTGATCTAATCCTATCTTTGTTTTGATTATGTTAAATATATGTTCTATGTGCCATTTTCAGACGTAATACTTGGAAATCCAATTTTTTCTTTATGATGCCTCTTTTACAGGTGTCCACCTTAATGATTTAACCATAATAGTTTTAGGAGGGATGGTGGAATATGCTGAAATTAAACTCTTGATTCAGCCTGTATTCTTGTGAAAATATATGCTGTCAAATATGTTTATGTTTTGAAAGAGATACAATATTTCTGGGAAGTTGGAAGTCATTTCTTTAGTGATGAAATACAAAGTTTTTTTTTTTTGTCCCGCATCTCTATAGAGTTCAGCATTATGTGCCTGGTACTTTTTTGGTCTTCTGTTTACTTCTTTATTTGAGGCATCTTTTAAAACAGGAACCTTAATTGTTCAATGGGTCAATTGGATTGTATATGTCGTATGTGCCTACTTGTTTTCTTTTACTTGGACGATTAATTTTATTTCCTTTATGCAGAATCAGGCTCTGCAGCACCTCAAGGGTGAAAGAGATGCAGCTATCCGACTGACACAGCAGTTGCAACAGGATCTGGTTAGCATGCTTCATACTTTTGATCCGAATGTATTTCTTTTTGATCGATTAAAGATATAAAGTACATTCCACCTGAGACAGCTGGTGACTTAACATGCAAAACAAGATGCAGATACAGCCTACAAGGAGTAATCCTCTTTAAACAGGATGACCATCAAAATTCTATTCATGGCTTGCCACTTTGATTTAGTTAATCGATTGTAACTTATTTTGAAAGCTTTTTGCATGGAACAATGATCGACGTTGCAAATAAAAGACTTACATTTAGGATATCCTTCACAGACACATTAACTCATGATATAACAGGGGAGGGGATTTCTACCAATTGAGTTCTTAGATTCATTCTGCTCTTACAGGAAATGCTGAAGGGACGAAGGAGCCGAAAAAGGGATTCAGGCTTCTCCTTCACATTCACATTTTTCGTGGGACTCATTGGAATTATGGTCGGGGTCCTCTTAAACCTGTTGCTGTCTTCGCCTTCTGCAGTTTAAGCTCACCCACCTCAACCTCAGTAGACAATTGTTTTGTTCATTTCATTGTAAATTTCTAGTGCTTGTTTAGAGTGAAAAGCTTGCTTACTCTGATCTTATCTCTTTGTAAATTGATCATCGCATTACTGATTCTTGATTTGTTGATTTGAGTAGTATACGGTTCCATCATGTTTTGACACACTGTAACTAGCATTTTCATCTTCTCTGCAATGCCCTAATTAGAACAGAAATTACTGACAGTTTTTATTATTGTCATTAAGAGACGGGGATAGGATTTGAATTATGACGTTTACCAACTAGTAATCCCATCGATAGGGTATCATAAGAGGAACGGGATTAGTGACAGATAAGAATACATGTTTTATACTGTGAAAGAGAAGATCAGCAAGCTCTCATTACTATCAGGCAGGCCTGCCCGATTGGATGCTGCCATAATGCCAATGGTAGTGAACAAAGACCATCTTCCAAACCGTCAAGATCTAGATCGGTTTTTATAAACTTTACTGATTAATTTTTTGAGATTTTCAGTTACGAGTTTGATAAAAAAACGTCTTGATTGACATGATTTGTGTGGTTTTATGGTTAGTTGTATGCATTTTTTAGTTTGTATTGTAATTACGAGTTCAAAATGTTAAGTTGTTGGGAGTTGGGACGATTCTCGATTACTAAAAAAAATCATCCGACAATAAAGGTGGCTCTAGGTGAGATTAACTCTTCAGGTTGAGGGGGAAATCTAATCAGGGCTTTATATCCTCTACCTTAAAAGGACAAAATACAATTCTTGAACTGAGACGTGGGTAAGAAAACAAATCAGCCCAGGTCCAGTATGAGTCCATTCTGTTCTCTAGCCCAAGATCTTTATGGATTAGAACAAGCCCAATACCTTTGAGGATTTTGGCGGGAA